GATTATTTTTAAATTTTTTTTAATATTACTTGTGGTCATTAAAGTTCCCATGATGCTCACTGAGGGTCCGAGGGGTGTTCAATTCCAGCGCTCGGTCTAAACTTCAATGGGAGCAATTACCAGATATTCTTCCTACCAGAGTTCCCTTGGCAGCGGTAGCAGGATGTGGGATTCTCCTTTCCTGTCTGAACTTCTTTGCTGCTAAATCGTTGTGCGTCCTGCCCCAGAGACTGTTGTTTCTGTGGTGTATTAGGTGTTTCTTCCCTGTCAATACAGGGCTCCTAAAGTGCTTTGGCTCTTCTAAGATGAAGGATGTGGTGTTGATCCGTGCTGAAGGATTGGTGGTTGATGTGTCTGAAGGTTTTGGGGTAGATTTTCTTTTACCTTGGGCAGCTGCTTGGTATGAAACAGTCCTAGAACGAGGATTGACTCTTTGCTGGAGCTTCCTACGCTGCCCAGGCATATATTTCTAGACAGTCGGGAGAGGCAAACCTCCCTGGCAGGTCAGACCTGGCAGCGGCAAGGAAAGCTCCAGCTGTTTTGCTTACCTGATAGTGGTGCGAGTTCATCGAGTTGGACTGAAACGAAGAGTGGTTGCTGGAACTGAGGAGCTCGGGCTACCTTGTCGGATATTGTCGCAGCATCTCGGTTGTTTTTCCACTTCACGTTAAATTTGAGACAGTGAAGTGGGATGCTCGGAAAGTTCCAATCTTTGGAAGGATCAGAACAAAACAACCACCCCGCTTTGAGGAGCCCGTGGAGTCGTAGTTTGGTCTGGTTGTCTGATCAGGAGCCCAGTGCCTGTTTGGGAGCCGACTGAATCCTCATGATGTGGTCAGTCTCGTTCCTTAGATGAGCCTTCGTGTTGTGAATCCAGCGATTAGCGCTGCGGTAACAGAGACCCTGCTTTGAGACCTGGGGTGCTGGGGGAACAAGATGCTTCCCAGAGTCAGTGCCTTCAGGCGGGGATTTTCAGGGGGCTGGAGGGGATGCCCGTTCGCAGAAAACAGGAGCCATATTGTCCACAAAGAAGCCACAGATATTTCCAGGATGCTTGTTCTGCTCTGATCTCTTCACTTCAATAGCTGCATGATCTTGGTCATGCCATGTGTCCTCTGGTGTTTTACCCCAGATGCGATGTCCAGACAAGATACAAGAAAAGCTTCAATTCGCTCTTTTTGCCATTGATGGCTCAAGTACCTGCTAAACACAAAAGGTTTCTTCCTGTTGCGCTATTAGAAAATCAGATTTATTAAAAAAGAAAGTCGTCATGCTTTTATTTTATCTTAATCTTTTCATACGGTGCAGTTAGTTTCTGTCGATGGGCAGGGTCTTCCTCTCAGGAACATGCATCTGTTTTGCAGGTCCACATAATTCGGATAGTTTGGCACTAAACTGCCAACAGCGCATTCCTTTTAGAGAGCAGTTGAATTTTAATAGCACCAGAGAGTGGTTGAAATAGTGACTTCTCCCAAGCAGGCAGAACACCCTCCTTCATTTCCTCCTGCCTACCATCTTCCCACCTTTCTGGCTTTCTGCTGCTGCGTGCTAGGTGTGTTTCCTGAGGCCTCTGCATAGTTTAGGGTGGATCCTGGGCAGATGGAGACCTGCTTGGGCTTGTCCTTGGGATGTTGCAGAGCCTGGTGTCAGCAGAGATGATGATGGCTCATGCTCCCAATGGCCATAGAGCTGGGTTTTATCTCAAGGGATCCAAGCTCGCAGATGTGTCCATGCAGCTGAAAGAAGGAAGGGGAGAACCGGGATGATCGCTCCCTAAATATGAAGTGGAGAGACAAGGACTTGCATTGTGTGACCTATAATTGGGGTGAGCTGTTCATAGGGAAAAAATGCCCATTTCTCCAGTCGGTGGTGAGTGAGGCCTAGGATAATGTTTGGGCCTTGGGCAGCAAACCACTGACTTCTTTTTTTTTTTTTTTTTTTTTTTTTTTTTTTTTTTTTT